CGCCAATCGACGAACAATAATCTGCCAGGAGCGGAGTAGAGTCGAGTGTCGATAACACGTATCCGTGTAACGACGGCGGAGTGACTACAGTCGCCAATCGACGAACAGTAATCTGCCAGGAGCGGAGTCGGTCTCTCTTAGAGCGGATAATCGGAATCGGATTCTCCTTCGAGAGCGGTGGATCGGTTCTGATTCTCTTTCGAGAGCGGATGATCGAATCTCTCGATTACGATTACGCCGCATTTTATATACTTTGAATCTCGCTTGATTCGCTATTTACCGCGGTTGTTCGGCGGTCGCGCTGTTTACTGTTTTGGAGGACGCGCTGTCCTCTTGCGCTTTCGGTTCGCGGTGTTCGGCTTGCGTTGTTGTGCTTTTCTAGTAACGATTGATTACGCATCGTTACATACATAGACGTTTAAATTTTGTAAAAATGGGTCCATCACTGTGAGTTTGATACACATGTTCTCATACCTTGAATTTTTTTTCCTAAACGTTATTAAGCGGTTCGACCTTGAAATAATCTTTAAAGGTCATTTCGACTCTTAACATAACTTTAAAGTTTCTATTTAAAAAATTCGATTTGACCTTCAAATAACTTTGAAGGTCAAGATCAAGGTGAAATTGAAGCTCACCATCCGATGTCCCTCTCCGAATCCAACAAATTTTGTAAAGGTTATTTTCGGATTGATGGCTCCCCTGACGAGATATTCAGGTGCGTAATTTAAAATGGGACACCCTGTATATGTATATATATATATATATACAGGGTGTTCGGAAAGTACCGGGACGCCAGAATATCAGGAAAAATATAAGTTTTACAAAAAAATGTTTCAGACAAAAGTTGTAGCGTTTAAAAAGATGTATTTACTGATCACATCAGTTTGACCTTGGGTTGCGTAGCGAAGGTCAGGTCAAGGTCACATTAATTTTTTTAAATGGAACACCCCATTTTTCATTGCATATTCTTATAGCACATCTCGAGAGCTTTCCAAAACGCTATAATAAAATATTTTTTCGTTAA